TTATTATTAATTTTTTTTTTTTTTAAATTTGTTACGGTGATAAAAAAATCATAACATGTAACCATCGAACCCCCCCCCACTTCCCCCCTCCCCCATCTCTCTCTCTCTCATTTTTCGCTCCGGATTATTACCACTAATTAATTATTTTTCGAGTTAGAGAGAGAGAACATCCATCATTTTATTTTCTTCTGGTTCTTTTTTTTTTTTTGGTTCTATTTTAATTGTTGACGACCTCCAACCGAAAAAAAAAAAAACCATCGGGAAATTCATAGCACGAAAAATCATTTGAACCTGTTCTCCCTAAATAAAAAGCCTAGGGGGAGGGATGGGAGGACGGGGGGAAGGAGAAAGGGATACTTAAAATCGTTAAAGACGTACGAAATACATACAAATCATTTATCATTTTTTCTTTTCGAAATCGTAATACTAAAAAGTATTTAAAAATTTTTTTAAATGACGAATGAAAAATGTTTTTAACGGTAGCAAAAATATTTGCTATGATGATAATGATAATAATAATAATTTGTAAGTGATTGATAATAATAATAATGATAAAAAGTAAAATTTTTCGTTTGTTCTTTCCTAAACAAAACTCAAATATACGCGTCGCTTTTTTTCCTATTATTATTATTATTATTGCGTTTTTTTTCTAATATTAAAAATTAATTATTTTTCCTTTGCTTAACTTATGTAAAATTTAAAAATGTTTATAAAATGATAATAATGATAATAAGATTAATTATAAGAAAAAAAAATTTAATACGAAATAAAGGAGAAAAAAAAAAACTAAAACTATATATAATAATTAAAATGCAATGAAATTTATTTAAATAATTGTTGTTTGTTGTTGTTGTTGTTGTGTTAAATTGTTGTTTGTTGTTGTTGTTGTTGTGTTAAATTGTTGTTTGTTGTTGTTGTTGTGTTAAATTGTTGTTTATTGTGTATGTTTTGTAGTTTAAAATAAAACGTTCGACTTCACCTGATGGCGTTCGCGAAATGAGACGACGCTTTTAAAAAAATTTAAAAATGGCGGATTATTAATGACGATTGGTTTTTTGTTTTTTTTGCGACAACAACGACGACGACGACGCGTTTTTAATTTTTCCACCGTTATCAGACGAGATGATAACAACAATACAAACAACAAAGATTCACATACGCACAATTAGAAAACAAACAAACAAACGAACGAAAAAACTTTTCGATTTTTTTTATTAATAAAATTAATTTTTATTAATCAATTTTTTTTTAAAATAATAATAATAATAATAATTATTATTATTATTATTGATTTAAACTGGAAACTGTTGTTATCATTTATCAACGGATAAATGAATGATAACAAAAAAAAAAAACAAATTCAAGGTTTATTTTTTTTTATTCAAAAATTTTCGAGGAGTAAAAACAAAACAAAAAACGATTATTATTATTATTATTATTATTATCCATTTTTTTTTTTTGCGGATGGTCAACGACGCATGCGTACGCAAATATTATTTATAGTACGTGCGCGTTATTAATGATAATAATAATAATAATAATAATAATAATAATAATAATAAATTTTTGGTTTATGCGGTTTCGTAGTTTTTTTTTTTTTTTTTTTTTTTTTGTTTCAACATTTTATTTTTTCTTTAAACTATCATTTGCATTGTTTCCCCCCCCCCCCCCCCCCCCCTTTTGTTTACAATCACTATTATTATTATTATTAATGTTTAGTATAGTTTTGAAATTGCGTACGAAAAAAAAAATGAGAGAGAGAAAGAGAGAAAAATTTAATAAAAAAGAAGAAGAAAAAAAAAGGCCTCGAGGAAAGATTTAAAATAATAATAATAATAATAATAATAATAATAATAATAATAATAATAATAATAATACGTCTACGGGAGGTAGGGTGAGGGGGAGAGGGCAGGGAGTGGGAAAAGTGATTTATTAAATCAAACCATTTCTAATTTAAAATAATTTGTGGTTTATTCGGCATTTTTCACGAATTTTATTACCATTTGCAATTGGTTTGAGTAATTGGTACCTCTGAGGTACACATCCGAAGAGTACCTGGTGAGGTATCTAACAGGTATGGAAGAAGGTACGAGAAAAAAATCGTCGGAAGTTATTTCTATGAAATTTTACACCACACACACACACGCACATACACCAATTACCGATTTAAAAAATTATTAAAGTAATTTGTTTTTCTTTTTTCTTTCTTTTAAATCCTTTTAAAAAAAAATTTTTTCACGATCGATAAATAAAAAAAAAAAAAATTACAATCGATAAGTTATTATGTGCATATATATACAATTGAAAATTAAAATGCATTCGTCACGTGCGTACGCCATTTTGATTAATGACGTCATACGCGACGGAAGGGAATTTCGTCGCCACTTGTAAATAACGTAAACAAACAAAATTTAATCCTTTAATTTTTTTTTGGAAAATTATTTAACGATATTTTCTCCATCGAAATACGTATAATTATTTGTCTTCTGCTTTTTATTTATTTATATTAATTAAAATTTTACTTGACGACGACATTTTCTATTTTATACGACCGTAATAATAATAATAATTTTAAATAGTCGTCGTTAATAAATTAATGTGGACTTATAAAAAAAATAACGGTGGAAAAATTTAGTTAGTTAGTTAGTTAGTTAGTTTTAGTTAGTTATCGAAATAGTTTTTACCATAATTTTATCTTCTGCTCATTATCAGTTAAAATTAAAACAAGTTTTTTTTTTTTAAATTTTTAATCCTTAATAGTTTTCGATAAAATTTAAAATTAATTACGTAAATAATTTAATACAGTTCTGTTTTTGTTTAAACAATAATTAAAATATTAAAATTTATTTAGCAGACGACAAAAAAACATTTTGAATATCGATTATTGAAATATTCATCATCGCCTTGACCAGTTTTAAAAGGTTTTTTATCGAGTTGGCAGCGGTTTTCTTTCTTTCATATCATTACAAAATCGATATTTCCTTTTTTTTTTTTTTTCATCCTCATCAGTTACAAAAATGATTTCCACACTTGTAAAATTGGTGTCAAATGGTAAACCGCAATATTATTATTATTATTATTTTGACCGGTTAATTACCACCGATAGATTCGATGGTATTATAAAGAAATTTTTCACAATCGTTTTATATGTTTTGCCACAGAAAAAAATAATTTTTTCAAATAAGTTTCCCTTTTTGTACGAAAATTTGGATTTGGAAGACACTCGAAAGGGTTAAGAGAATAAGAGAGAGAGAATGTTTTTATGGATCCCTGAGAAAATGATCAATTTGCAAGAAGTGAGAGAGGAGAGGGAGGAGAGAGGGAGAGAGATAGAGAGAGACCATCACGAGCCGAGAGCGTCGATCTAATTAAACCTTTTGACTTGTTTGATAACTATAATTACTATTTAAAAAAAGGTTGCTTCATCCTGCTATTTTGACCGATATATCATTTCGGCTACCGGAAATGGTGGCTTCTTTAGATGCCCTTAAGGTCTCAGATAATGATGTTGTTAAACCAAAGTTAATGCGTTGTTTTGCGAGAGAGACCTCCACAACCGTTCGTTCGTTCGTTTGATTTTTTTCTTTTTCTGTCTCTCTTTATTCCACGAGATTTAAAAAAATTTATTTTTTCACGTCTTCTGCTTCTTCTTTTTACAAAATGGTGACCGTTTTTATTAGTATTTAAAACGAAAAACGGGAATTTATCAATATTTTTTTTTCTCCCATTTCGTGCACTCTAATCCCACACGTTTTTTATTAATTATTAATAAATAAATAAAATTATTGAATAATAAAAAGTACATAACTATCATCATCATCATCATCATCCTTACATAAAATTTAAAAAATTTCATTAGAAATAATTTTTTTTATTTCAATTTTATCTTATTGTATGTAATATAATTACAACAATAAAAAAAATAAATAAAATTTTAATATCGATTTTATTATTATTATTATCTGTGCGTCGTGAGGTCGAAGAAGAAAAAAAAATTTTATTTTAGTTATTTAAATAATTTTTAATAACACGCGACGTTCCCGATCGATTAATAACAATAATAATAATAATTAATAATTTGAAAAAAAGTGCGTAATTCGGTTAAAAAATAATTGATAAAGTGTGATAAGGGTTTAAAAAAAAAGTAAGTCAATTTATTATTATTATTACTATTATTATTATTAATAATTACGCTACAATTTACAAAACCTCACTACTACAAATTGTAATAAAAAAAAAAAAAAAATTACACGACGAATATCTTCTTCAATAAATTTAAACTTTGTAGAAAAAAAAAAAAGTATAACGAAAAAGGTTTTAGAAAAAAAATGCGTGTGTGTGTAAGAGAGAGATAGATAGATAGAAAAAGTGGTCCAGACGAGAGTGAAAAAAAAAAAAAGTAGATTAGACAATTTTAACAAGTATAAGAATAAAAAAAAAAAAATTCTTCTTTTTTTATTTCGTGGGAAACAAAAAAAAAAAAAAAAAAAAAAGACAACCGAAAAGAATCATTTAAACCCATTAACGTCTCTCACACACACACACACAGGTAAAATAATAATAATAATAATAATAATAGTCATGTGAATTCAAGGACGGTGCAAAAGCATATATATATAAGAGAGAGAAAGAGAGAGAGAAAGGACAGAGTATATTCTTGCAGTGTAATTGAAAAAAATAGGTCTAATATATTTAATAAATTCGGTAGCATAATCTAGTTATCCCACGTTTAAATCATATATAATTACTATTCCATGGTTGAACTCCATCTCACGAACAAAAAACGATCACGACCGAAATAAAAAAAAATAAAAATTTTTTAAATGGTTTTTCATATACGTATATATAAATCTCATACTTCACGATTTACCCTTTGGGGTAAACGGGGGGATCCCCTCAATGAATCTTCTAAATTGTATACGTACGGAAGAATCCACCACCATCACCATCACCAATCGACATGGATTTCTTTAAATTTTTTTGTTTTGTTTTCCTTACAGATGAACCAACAGTGTAAGGTCTGTGGCGAACCAGCTGCTGGATTTCATTTTGGTGCATTTACATGCGAAGGATGTAAAGTAAGTAAAAAGGGGGATGATTACAACCCCCCACCCAACCAACACCCACTCACTCACCCACCGTTTAAAAAATTTTTAATACTTTATTCGGGTAATTTAGGAAAACGTTTGTGTGCGTGCGTGTGTGCGTGAGTGCGTGCGTTGACCTTACGGTACATATATTGTTACAAAATATAATAACATTTTATTTTTATGTTAAGGTTAGGTTCGGTTATGATTTTTCATTCTTTCTTTCTTTCTCATTTTTTTTTTTGGTTGATTTATTGTCAGAAAAATATTTTCCCGACGACGACGACGACAAACGACAAACGACGAAGAGAAAAACCATGAAATAATTCGAAACGGTTTTTTTATATTTCTTTTGCAATTTTTTTTTCACAAACCGCATTTTCTTAAATAATAATAATAATAAATAAAGTAAAAATTACATGGTTCAATATTTTTTTTTAAAAAAAAGGTGGGATTGCTTAATTGCAATGTGCGTTACAAATAATGTTGTTGTTGTTGTTGTTGTCGAAGAAGAAGAAGATGACGATGACGATGATGATGATGATGATGATGATGATGATGATGATGACTATGCGGGTAGTAACAATTGAAAGGCGTGAGCGAATGAGTTTGTGTTTGTGTGTGTTTGTTAAGTTTGTATGCAACAAAAAAAGTAATTTATGACTTCATTTAAAAAAAAAAAAAAAAAAAAAAATTTATGCATGTACGTTTGTTTGTAATATTTTGGCGCGGTTAAAATTGATTTTATTTATTATTATTATTATTATCACGCGTGTATATGAGTACTAACCAGTATTGCCGTAAATAATTAACATAGAGAATTTTTTTTGATATACCTTAAAAAAAAAAAAAATGCGATAAATCAACCGTAAAAAAAAAAAAAATATATATGTTACATAATTAACATACGCAAGACTTTATTATTACACGGGTAGTAAACCGTAGACAATTTTTTTGCGTTTTAGGTAAAAACATAATTTTGTGTTATTATTATTATTATTTAACACCTTTTTTTTCCCTTTGTTTTATCATTATCATCATCATCGTCGCGTACAATTCCTTCCACGTTTGTTATGATATTATTTTAAAAAATTTTCTTTTTGTCGCAAAATATTCCGTTGAAAAATGTTTTGTTGCGTAATTTAAACGCACGCACTCACGCACAATTCTTAAAGAAGAAGAAGAAGAAGCAGAAGGAACTAGTGGATAACGTAATAAGAAAAAAAAAAAACAAATGAATGTAATATACGAGAGACAAGGTTATTATTATTATTTATTTTTTTTTTTTTTAATGCCGGCCTTATTTACACAAGACTAACTACAATGGCCCACTGAACCAAATATTCACACACCGGCTAACTTATTTATTCCGCCACGGTCTTTTGTTGTTTGTTGTTGTTGTTTGTTATCTGATTATGTTTATGGAGAATGTTGCATAATATCTTCAAGTTCATCCTTCTCTTTAACAATTGTGGAAGAATTTTTTGTGCACACACACACATGCTTTATATATATATTATTATCAAATCACCGGTTGTGTGTTGTGCATGCGCGTGCACACGATTTAAAAATGATGATAATAATAATAATAATAATGATGAGAATATTTTTATGCAAATGATATTATTGTATGCGTAATAATTCTATGTCAAGTGCTTATTTTTTTTTTAACAAACAAACAAACAAACATGCAAATATAAAAAATTAAAATTTAGCAAGGTCTTATTGGATTTAAAAATTTTTTTCTTTTACAAAATAAAAAAATTTGGCCAAAAGGTGAGAGAGCGTGGGTGGGGGTGGAAGGGAAGGGAGGGGTACGAATGTACCGTTTGAAAACGCATGTGTGTGTGTGCGTGCATGCGTGTGGCATTTTATACGATAATTTAATTTACACTTAATAAAATAATAAAGAGTAAACACGATGGTAAAAACTTTTTTTCTCTCTCTCTCTCTCTCACCTTTTAAATAATTAAATTAAATTTTTTATTATTAATAATAAAATTTTAAAAGTTTTTTTAAAGTCATTCTTTCGATTGTATAAGAAAATCCGAAGGTGGAATTATTATTATTATTTATAAAAAGGAGGAGGAAGAGGAGGATGATGCAAAAAAAAAAAAAATTTTTTTCTGAAAGGCCATATGAAAGTTTTTTCTTTTAAAATGAAGAAAACTTATGTGGTTCAATTTTTCTTTTCTACGGTTTTCCTTTTTTTTTTTCTAGAAAAATTACAAAATTTTTTTTCAATATATAAAAAAAATTGCGTAAAAATTATTATCATTATTATTATCATTATCATTATTATTATTATTATTTTACCTTGTCTCGTATTTGAAAAATGTTTTTTTTTTTTTGGCGTACGAATCTAATTTTTTTTTCTTTTTTTTTTTAAATTTAAAATATTAAATTTTATTATTATTATTATTAATGTTTTTAACGAATTTAAAAATGGCGGACGTTGTTCATTGTCGATTTAATTTTTTTACCTTTTCCTTTTCTTTTTCCTTTTCCTTTTAACACCTGTGAGACGACGATTACGGTAATAGTAATTTTAAATCTTTTTTTTTTTTAACAAAATTTTTTTTTTTTTTTTCTATGTCAATGACACGACGAAAAAAAAAACTTTTTAGCTAATGACACTTCGTTCGAATTTTTTAATTGTTTTAAAATTAAATTTTTAAAATTAACTTTTTAGTTATTTCCTCCTCATCCTCCTCCTCCCTCTCCTTCCCTTCCTTTCCCGAAAGGTAAATTGTTTTCGAAAAAAAAAAATGTGTAAAGTTCGAGTGATGTCGATTGAAAATTACGTGGGGGAAGGAAAAGGGAGTGGGGGAATGTGAGGAAGTGAAAAAAGCAGACGATTTTTTAAAAAAGTAAATAATAACCCCCCCCCCAAAAAAAAAAATAAAAATTTTTTTGACATGTATAATACCTTATGAACTACTAATTATATACTCTCTTTCTGTTTCTTTTTCTTTCTCACGCACCCTCTCACTCTCTCTCTCTCTCTCTCTCTCTCTCTCTCTCTCTCTCTCTCTCTCTCTCTCTCTCTCTCTCTCTCACACATACACTCTCTCCGAATAATTTTTCAATTCCTCTTCTTTTTTCCCTTTCACTTAAAAAAAAAAAATTATTTAAATTTCACAATAACAACAAAAAAAAGAAAAAAAATTTACAAGTTCACCACCGGCGGCGCCACCACCACCACCACCACCACCAACACCATCACCATCACCATCCTCATCGTCATAATCACCATCACCATCACCATCCTCATCGTCATAATCACCATCACCATCACCATCTTCATAATCATTAAATCTTTTTGTTTACAATGCGGTATTATCCATCACAATCGAACCATGTGAGATTTCATTTTCTTTTCTACGAGATTTCGAAGGTTTCTCCCCCCTCCTCCCCCCCCCGGAAAGTGCATTCAAATTATTGAAGCGACAACACTTTCCACCGCCTCTCTTGTTACCTCCCCTCCCCTCCCCCCGTTTAATTTCTTCGCATTGCTGATCAACGATGTAATATTACTCAATTAATTTTTTTAGGTTCATGTTCGTCAATCACTCTCCGCACTTTCGGGTAATTAATTTTTCTTACGTGTCAAGGTTATTATTATACCATTTCTCAACTGACCTTAGACAAAGTCCTTTTCTTACCGGACGAAATGATGATGATGATGATGACTTTCGGAGGTGTTTTTGTTGATCTTTTTAATTACCCTTTTTTTTTTTTTGTTGGAACCGCGCGTGTGTGTGTTTATAAATAACGCGCGCGTTTTATTAGTGACCTTTAAAAATTAACAAGTGTACACTTTTTTTTTTTTTACACAATTGCTAAATAATTATTCGGTTGTTGCACTGTTGGTTCAATTAGTCAGAAAGAGAGAGAAAGACAAACAACAAACAAACAAACATAAGAAAAGTTTATCTTATCAATCACTTAATGCAAATTTAACAAGGTTTTCTTCTTCTTCTCTCATATTTTTTTTTTTTTTGTTGGGAAAATGAAGAGTAATTAATTTTCATCTTTAATTTGCATCCCTTTTGAAAATGTTACCAACTTAAAAAAAAAATTGTTTTAATGTAAATTATTATTATTATCAAAAGAGAGAGAGAGAGAAATTTATATAAAAAGCGCCCTTTCATTTCATTACTTATTATCAATAATAATTTTAAAAGTTGTTTTTGTTGTTGCTAAAATAAAAAAAAAAAAAACGCAACGTATAATTCACCCGACAATTTATTATTATTATTATTATTAAATTTAACCGTAATTTTCTAACACTAGTCGCGGTTCGTTTTAAAAAGAGAAAAAGACATCATCATCATCGTCATGATCATCATCACGATATTTTTAACATAATTCTAATTATATATAAATACAAACGTAATTTGTATATTGAATTCGCGGTTTGAAAAAAGTTTAATAATAATAATAATTTCTTTGTTAAATTACACAAACGAGAAAATGCAGAAGAAGAAGAAGAAGAAGAAAATCCACTCGAATTTTTTTTTTTTTAAATAATATACGGCCCTGAAAAACGACCATGAGTCCTTTCTTTTCTTTTTTGTAAATTTTTCTAAAATTTTGATTGTTTTTGTTTGTTTGTTTGTTTCAGTCGTTTTTCGGACGTTCCTACAACAATTTAAATTCAATAACGGAATGTAAAAACAATGGAGAATGTATAATAAATAAAAAAAATCGTACGGCATGTAAATCTTGCAGGCTTCGTAAATGTCTTTTGGTCGGTATGTCAAAAAGTGGGTCCAGGTACGGAAGAAGATCGAATTGGTTTAAAATTCATTGTCTTCTGCAAGAACAACAACAAGCAGCCGTGGCACAAATGAAAGGGAAAAATCCATCGACGACGAATCCGTTGGAAAATCCATTACCACTTTTATCACCTCTCGCATTTCCTCATCCGAATTTAGGTAGTTTTTTAAGGCCTAATAATTCATCATCACCATCTGTGAGTTCACCAGATTCCGATACTTCCGAACCAGGATTATGTTCTCCGAGATTGAGAAACGGTGGTGGTGGTGGTGGGGGTGGCGGTGGTATCGGTGGTCCGAATCCTTTTGTAAATAAGGATTTTTACCTTCCGGTACCTTTTCATTCCATGTTTATGCAACCCCCGCCGCCAATGTCGTCGCCATTTTTACTCCCACCGTCTCTTCTTCCTTTTCCCGTACCACCAACGAAACACAACGATTATTCCCAAAGACTCTCACCGCCTGATCACGTTCAAAATGTACATAAAAGAAATTGTTTAACGCCGGAATACGATGAAGAAAATACACGTACCGACAGCCCACCTTCAAGGCAATCGCCGACAAACAACAACAACAACAACGATTATAGTTCCAAATGTATTAATATAAATGATGATAATAGTGATGATAATAGTTTTGGAAAGAACAAGTGTAATAACGATTGTAATAATTTCATCAACAATAATAACAATATCATTATTAATAATAATAATAATAATAATAATAAAGTAAAAAGGGAAAGTGATAAAGAAATGATGATGACGGTTCGTTCGAAAAGGTTTTATTTAGACGCGATTTTAGGTTTGAAAACGTCGTCGGAAAAAAAAATCGAATCCGTCAATGAGAAAAAAATCAATGATGACGTCATCAATAATGATGACGATAATGATGACGAAATAGAAAAATTAACAATAAAACGTTACGATGATGAACAAGACAATCCGATTGATTTGAGCGTTAAAAGTTCAAAATTTAAAAAGGATTTTTTTACTAAAGAAAATAATCGTAGGAAAAAACACGTGGAAGAAGAAGAAGAAGAAGAAGAAAACGTGGTAGAAGAAAAGAAAAAAATTTTTAATAATAATAATCGGGATGATGTTAAACCGATACCGTTGGATTTAACCGTGTGAGAGAAAAAACAAAAAAACCCGCGTAATTTAAAATTTTTTATTTTAACGCATACGCGTGAATACGCGAGGGTGCATCAAAAAGTACGGAAAGAAAATTTTTTTTTTTTTTTAAATTCCTTTTTTATTTAGATAGGTTATTGTAGTATTATTACGTCATCACGAATTTTTATAATAATAAAATATATATATATATTCGATTTAGAGATCTCAATAATATCTCAATTCATCGATTGATTGATTGATTGAATTATATTTTCCGAAAAAACAATTTTATAAACCCATCGAATATGAAATAACGACGATTTTTTTTTCGTTTATTTATTTATTTATTCTCCCCCCCCTTTCTTTCTTCCTCCCTCTCTCCTCCCGCCCACCTCATCAATACAAAAAAAAACCAAACCGGAAATAGTAGTAGTAGTATTCGATTAATTAAATTGCGGAAAAGAAAAAAATGAATTTTTTTAAAACTGTTGTTCGGTTGTTACCTTTTTTTTATTTTTTATTAAAAAAAAATAAACCGACATATTGTTAATAATAATTAGAATAAGAAAATAAAAAAGAAATTTCCCACGGATATTGTCAAACAAACAAAAACAAACAAACAAACAAATAAGAAAAAAAGCAATTTTATTTGTATTTGTTCGTTTGTTTTTATTCACGATTAATAAATATAATTTTATTTAATATTAATAAATAAATAAATAAATTTATTATTATTTTTTTTTAATTTATTCATCAACAAACCTAATCATCATTATCATTATTATTATTATCATTACTATTACTGTCATTTTCGATTTGTAATTATTCAGATTAGTGTTATGCATATTTAAAAACTTTTTTTTTTTTTTTTTTTACAAAATAATGATTATTAAATAGTTTTTCGATTGGTAAACTGTTGTTGCGGTTGTACAAACAAACAAACAAACAATTTTATTTCGTAAGTTTTCTTTTCTAAAAATTTTTACTAGATTGTCAAATGTTTGTCGTAATTTTTAATTTCATTTAAGGATAGATTGTTTACGAAATTAATAATTTTTTTTTTTTTATTGTCGTCGAAGAGAAAATTACGCGCGTTTTTTTTTTTTATTGTTTTTTAACATCCGACAGAAATTTTTCCACGTTAATCAAATTTTGTCAACATTTTATAAGGAAATGTTTTATTATTATTATTATTATCATCAATCGGCGTTCGTGACACGTGAATAAAAATTTTTTAAAATTACACCGACAGCGTTACGTAAATAATAACAATCGACGATTTGATTTCGTAATAATTTTCCATTTTATTTTTTTCTAGCAAATAATAATAATAATAATAAATGACGACAAACTGTTTGTTTAACTGTCAAACGCGTGCGTTTTGTGCGTACTATGGTTTGTTTCATTTTTTTTCTACAAACAGGCATTTACAGAGGAGTGGTAAACCGGGTGTGATTAACAATTACTTGTTATTGTTTTATTATTGATTTTTTTTTCTAAGTGTGACTGACTGAAATTAGAATTCTAAATTTAATTAACAGTTTTTATTATTATTATTATTATTAACAATATAAGTAATTATCAAAAATAACAATTACCTTAATTATCACAAAAAAGTTTATTTTTTTTTAATATATTTTTTTTACTACACGACATGTTTTAAACATTATTTAATATTATTTTAAATAATAATAATATAAATAAATCATTACATATTTTTTTTAAATGGCGACTGCTTCCTCCTCCTCCTCCTCCCCCCCCCTAAAAAAAAACAAAGAAAATTTGGACGAAAGAATTGAAATTTTCGTGACGAAATCAAATCGAACAAACTTGCAAAAAATTATTCGTGTCACGATTCGAAATTTATTTATTATTAAAAAGGATTTATTATAAAAAATACGTCGGATATAAATGGAAAAGGGATAAAAACTAAAATTAAAACTTGTGAAAAATTAACAATATAATCGAAATTTTTCCACCGAATAACTTCCTCCATGTTTTTTCTTTTCCACGACTTTTCCTTTTTGTATTCTCATCAATCGTGGAACGATCGTCGCGAGATTATTTAAAACTAAAATTAAATTTTGTATTTTTTCCTTCATGACCGTAACCGTTTCTAAAACTTTCGGATCTTTCGATAATATAAAATACTGATAAAAACCATCGAAAAGTGTCATTGTCCAATCGAGCACGGCCATGCTGTCTTCCACTATGACGTCACCATTTTCCGCTCGAGAAAATAAATTATTTAAATAATGTACGAGCGCCATGCAATCGTCGAAATTGAAAAGTCGTTTTAAATTAACGAGCAAATTGAAATTATCCACTGGAGTCGCGAGTATTTTATTAAGGAATTCTTCTTTTGACACGTTCACCCGTTTCTTATTACACGTCGAACTTTTTGTCGTGTCATTTTTCGATGGAAATACGTCGGACTCTCCGAGAGCCAACTGAATCATTTTAACGAGATGATCTTCGGGTATGTCGGAGAAATTGTTCAAACACCAAAGCAACGTTTTCACGTCCTTGGATTCAATCAATCGTGTCATTAGTGCCCGACAAATTCTGTAACAAGTATTTTCAGGTTGAGTGACGACGATTAGAAAATAATATAACCATAATGATAATAATGATAATGATGATAATAATAATAATAACGATTTGCAATCGCTTCCGATCTTGAGTTTGGTAATGTTTTTATCTGCGATTACGAAATACAAACATTTAATACCTATCATTAGTATTATTATTATTATTTATTTCGGGGTCGAAATAAGAAAGTATTCGACTGACTACCCATCATCATCATCATCATCATCATTACTAGATAAAAAGTAAATTTTAAAAAGGATTTCGTAAAAAAAAAAAAAAAAAAAGAAACAAACCCGAATTCCGACCATCCTTCGGATGAATATGCGATCAATTGTTCCTTGATCGATTCCGGATAATCGATCGATTGTTTTTCCGGTATCGAAACATTCTCATCCCACGTCGCAGTCGGAACGATCGTACATATTTCCGATGAATTTTCCAAATTTGCATGTACGGCTCGAGATCCGACCAACGCGGAAAGTTTTTCCGTGTTTAAATTGAACGGAACGCAAACGAGACGTTGTCCCATGACGATGACTAAATTATTATCGACCAGCCACATTTTCGGGGGTTTGTTAAACATTTTAAAATTAGTGTGAGCTTGAATAATTCCAAATTTAACATTGTAAATTCCTAGGAAAGCTCCTTCTTCGGAAATGTCACCACCGTACAATGCAACGTGATCGAGACCGATCGGTTGTATGGCTACTTCGGATTTGTTACTAATTTGATTTATTGCACCTAAATATTTTCCAACTTGAGCTTTTTCTGATTCGATAGGTAGTGGTAATGAGTATACAAAACCATCAGACCCTAATAAAAAAAAAGAATATTTTTTACATTAGGGTGTTAATTTACTTTTTATTACTAGCAATTCATTTAGAAAAACATTAAATTTGTAAAAACTTACAAAAACATAAAACTGAATTTTCCTTTTCCCTAGATAATATGGTAAAACCTAATAAACTAGTACCTGGCCTTCTGAGTTTTGTTTTTTTCACTGAATTACTAACTGTATAATCATTTTTTAATAATACACAATAGCATTGTCTATATTTCTGCAAAATCGAAATACAAAACGAATAATTAATTTTATTCGATATTATCAATTGAAAAAAAAAAAATCAATGTATTTATTCTTAAAAATTTAACCTTACATTTTCAAATTTTGTTACAAGAATTAAATATTTTTGATCTCTATTAATAATTATTTCTGCTGATTCGATAGTTTCTACTGGCATTATGACATCTTTCATTTCATCTTTACTCTTGCTAACTGCAGACTCTAAATCTCTTATAGATCCATTTTTAAACAAAACTATTAATTTCGGCTTTTTATCTATTCCATCTTTAGTACATAATAATATTTCATGAATTTCATTTTTAAATTTATGCTTTTTAGCTTTTTCTAAACTTGAATCTAGTTTAGACCATTGCTTAATATATATGTTATCAAAAACTCCGACATAATTTTCTTCGACAGGATCCCAAACAACTTTCGATGTTAATTTTGCAAGTGTTGAACTCCAACTGTTAAGCTGTTTTTGATCTGACAGCTGAAATTAGGTAAGAGTTGAGTCAATAATATTATTATAATAATAAACCTGCTTAGTTTTATGTATCAGATATATATTATAAACTCTAGTATTTAATTTAAGTTGATTGAAAATTTGTGGCATAGAGAAGAATATAAAGTAAAAAATTAAATATTGTAACTACAATTTATTTTAATAAAATAATTATGTTTGAAAAAACATAACCTACCCGGCAACGAATAATCATACTTTTTCCTAACGTCACAGCAACGCATCCTTCATCATCTTCAGAAACTCCTAAAAGGCCCTTTGAGTCCGTAATAGAACATAAATTAAAAGCTGTATTAAAACTAGCCATTTTTTAAAATTTGTTTAACGTATAAAAACATAAAAATATAAAACACGAGGGCACCATATTAATTTTGTGGCTGTTGGTAAAACTGTTAGCTTTTAGAGCACAATGGGGCCCCAATTATGGGAGGGCCCCCATTAAGCCGCCATTGACGCTTTAACAATATTTACCTGCGAAATGTATACAAACAAGTAGTGTTTTTTTAAAAACTTTTTTAACTATTTTGTGCATTTAATTTATAATTTATTATTCAAAATGACAATATTAAAGTTAATCGAATTAGAAAACTTTAAATCATACAAAGGAAAACAAATAATAGGTCCGTTAAAATCGTTTACAGCAATAATTGGTCCCAATGGTTCAGGGAAATCGAATTTAATGGATGCTATCAGTTTTGTTATGGGCGAAAAAACGACTAGTCTTAGAGTTAAGAGATTGAGTGATCTTATACATGGAGCATCAATTAATCAGCCTGTTTCTAAAACGGCTTCCGTGACAGCTGTTTTCGAATTAAATGATGGAAATTTAAAATATTTCACTAGAATGGTAAACGGTTCTTCGTCAGAACATTATATTGATAAAGAACTTGTTACTAATATGAAATACATGTCAGAATTAGAACTTCTTGGTATTAACGTAAAAGCAAAAAATTTTTTAGTTTTCCAAGGAGCTGTTGAAAATATTGCTATGAAAAATCCTAAAGAAAGAACTTATTTATTCGAAGAAATTAGTGGTTCAGGTGCATTAAAAGAAGAATATGATAGATTAAGAACGCAAATGTTGCAAGCAGAAGAAGAAACACAGTGTACATACCTTAAAAAAAAAGGAATAACAGCTGAAAGAAAAGAAGCTAAGGCTGAAAAAGAAGAAGCTGAAAAATATCAAAAGCTAACCGAAGAACTCGGAGAAAAACAATTGGAACTTCAACTTTTTAGATTATATCACAATGAGCAAGAAATTAATAGATTGGAAACAGAACTGCAGAGAAAACAAAAAGAAGTAGACAAAGTTGAAAAAAAGAAAGCCAAAGCTGAAGAAGCTTTAAAAGATAAGAAAAAAGAACATGGAAAACTAACTAGAGAACAAGCTCACAGTGATCAGCTTGTAAGAGAAAAAGAAACTGAAATTAATAAAATGAGACCTAAATTAATCAAATCAAAAGAACAGGTTGAACATATGAAAAAAAAATTGGAATCGGCAAAAAAATCTTTGACACAAGCCAAAAAAGCTCATGAGGCACACACTAACGATATAAGAGAATTAGAATTAGAATTGGAAAAAGTTGAAGAAATGAGAAAAGAATTTGAGGAAATGGTAGCAGGAGAGTCTCAAAGTCAAGGAAGAGATGTTCACTTGCAGGATGCACAAGTTAAACAATATCATTTATTAAAAGAAGAAGCTGGTAAAAGGTCTGCCATGTATTTGCAAGAATTAGATTCAGTCAATCGTGAACAAAAATCAGATCAAGATAGATTGGACAATGAAAGTAGGAAAAAAAATGAAATTGAAAGCATGATTAGGCAAAAAGGAAATGAAAAAGATGAAGCTATAAAAAGAATTGAAAAATTAAATGAGCATATAAGAAAAAATGAATTATCTTTAGAAGAAAATATAAAAATTCAAAGTCAATTGGAGAAAGATGTGGGTTCATCGAGGGGGAGAGTCGATGATTTACAAAGAGAGTTAGAAAGTGTGATCGAACAGTTAGGTGATGCCAGAGTAGACAAACATGAAGATTCCAGAAGGAGGAAAAAACAGGAAATTGTTGAAAATTTCAAAAGGCAATTTCCCGGAGTTTTCGATCGTATGATCAACATGTGTCAGCCTATTCATAAAAGATACAACGTTGCCATTACTAAAGTTTTGGGTAAATACATGGAAGCCATTGTTGTGGATACGGAAAAAACAGCACGGCAATGCATTCAATATTTAAAAGATCAAATGTTAGAACCGGAAACATTTCTTCCCTTGGATTACATTCAAGCCAAACCCTTAAAAGAAAGGTTGAGAACCATAAAAGAACCGCGAAACGTTAGACTTTTGTATGATGTCCTTCAATTTAACGAAGAAATTAACAAAGCCGTATTGTTTGCCACAAATAACGCATTAGTTTGCGAAACTCCAGAAGATGCCATGAAAGTGGCTTACGAATTAGACAGGCAAAGATACGATGCTGTCGCTTTGGACGGTACGTACTACACAAAATCAGGTTTAATATCGGGAGGTTCTCTTGATTTAGCTCGTAAAGCCAAACGTTGGGATGAAAAGCAAATGTCTCAGTTGAAAGCTCAAAAAGACAAACTCCAAGAAGAGATAAGAGATTTGCAAAAGAAATCTCGAAAGGAATCAGAATTGAACACGCTTCAATCTTCGATTGCCGGTTTGCAAACCCGATTGAAATATTCTCACAGCGACAAAGAAACGACTCAACAAACGCTCGAACAATTGGAAAAAGAATTGGCGAGACTTGAAGAAAAGCGTAATAATTTCGAGCCCAACATAGTGATCATAGAGCAAAGAATGGCAGAAAGAAACAAGGAAATTGAGAACATCAAAGAAAACATGAATAACGTCGAAGATGTCGTTTTCCAAAATTTTTGCGTACAAATCGGAGTCGCAAACATTCGTCAGTACGAAGAAAGAGAATTGAGAACTCAAAACGAAAGACTAAAGAAGAGGCACGAGTTCGAATCTCAGAAAAACAGGATAACGAGTCAATTGGAATTCGAACAAACTCGAGACACGAAAACGAACGTTTTGAGATGGGAAAGAGCCGTCCAAGACGAAGATGATAATTTGGAAAGGGAAAAAGCGGCAATGGAAAGATTGAAAAAAGAAATAGATACATTATTAAACGAATGTGATAAATTGAAAAACGAGGGAAGACTGAAAAAATCCGAAGTCGATAAAATCGATGAAGAGATAGCAAACGCAAGGCGAGAAGTCGGAGTCATCGCGAAAGAAATACTCCAAGTGCAAAAACAAGTGACGTCTTTGGAGAGTAAAATAGAACAGAGGAGAAGCGAAAGGCATAGCATTCTCACTCATTGCAAAATGGAAGACATTGGAATTCCGATGTTGCACGGAAACATGGAGGACATATCGAGCATAGAGGCAAACGAAAGTTCGTCCGGAAACGATGCTAGTTTAAGCACTCAACAAGTTTACGAACAGGAAAAACGAATACAAATCGATTACAATCAATTGCGTGACGATTTGCGTGAGTTGGAAGAACCGGACGAAGTGAAAAGAATGATAGACAAACTTCAGAAAACGATAAACGAACAGCAAAATTTGATACAAAGAATTCAAGCACCGAACATGAAAGCAATGCAAAAATTGGACGCGGCGAGAAACAAATTGCAAGAGACGAACGAAGAATTCGAAAACGCTCGTAAGAAGGCGAGGCAAGCAAAGCAAAAATTCGACAGGATAAAAAAAGAAAGACATACAAAGTTCATAAATTGTTTCGATCACGTTGCCAACGTCATAGACAACATATACAAAGCTTTGGCACAAAATCAATCCGCTCAAGCGTTCCTGGGACCGGAAAATCCGGAAGAACCTTATTTGGACGGAATAAATTACAATTGCGTGGCACCGGGAAAACGATTTCAACCCATGTCGAACCTATCGGGAGGAGAAAAAACGGTTGCCGCTCTCGCTTTGCTTTTCGCCATTCACAGCTATCAGCCGGCACCTTTTTTCGTACTGGACGAAATAGATGCAGCTTTGGACAACACGAACATTGGAAAAGTCGCGAGTTACATATGTAGGAAAAGCAGAATAGAAAGGAGTTTGCACTACGACATGCAGAGAGAATACGAGGACAACACGTCTCTACAAACGATCGTCATATCACTCAAAGAAGAATTTTATTCTCACGCTGATGCCCTCATTGGAATTTGTCCAGATCCTGGAGATTGTCTTATAAGTAAAGTTCTCACTCTGGATTTGACTCCGTATAACGAAGGAGAAAAATAAAAAAAAATTGGAATTTTTTTTTTTTTTTTAAATGATTGAAAAAGTTTAAAAAATGATGAAAAGTCAAAACAGTAAAATTTCTTTCAATTTAATTTAATTTAATTATTATTATTATTATCAATCACGCATGTTTTTTATATAAAAAAGAAAATAAATTAATTTATCATGTCTGGGTTTTATTTATTCAACGTTGTTTTCGGTGAAATTTAAACAATATTAATTATTATTATTATTATTATTGCATAAGATTGTTTTTTTTTTTTAAATAAATAAATAAATTTTTTTTAAATAAGTTTTTTCACATAATTTTTATTTAAATCCTTAATTGTCATAATGACGATGATGATGATGATGATGATGATGGTGATAGTGATGATGGTGATGATGGTGATGATGATGATGATGATAATGATTAGAAAGGTAAAAATTTTATAAAAAAAGACAAATTATAAAATCACAAATCATTTTATTTTTTTTTTTATTTTCAACTTACAAATTAATTTATAATTTATTTTACATTTTATATATATATTAATATTCATATATTATTATTATTATTATTATTATAATAAATAAATACAATTTTTTTACAATTCTTGGACTAGAACCGTAAGTTCATCAAACCCCCAAATACTGTTTTATTGTTGCCCCCCCCTTTTTTTTGAATTTTAAACAGAAATTTTTGCGATTAATTATAATTTGAAAAAATCATTATTATTATTATTAAATGTCTTGATGACGTCGGTCGTCGTGGGTTTGATAAACTTTTTGTATAAATTTTTTTTTTTTTTTTTTGAATCATTTTTCTACTACTCGAGTACTCGTTCGAGTTCCCCGTTTTAATATCCTGCTCGATGAAAATTTCCTGCGGTTGCGTGAGAAAAAAAACTTTCCTGCTGAACTAAAAAAAAAAAAAATCATCCTCATTAATAATTCATTATGGATGAATTAAGAATCCTTCGATTGCGGTCGGGTACCTTAAGCGTGCCTAATTTTTCTTCTTTGTTTAAAATCTTTTGTGACGACGAGTATCCATCCTACGAGTATTCTTTTAAAAACTTTTTGTGAAAAGTTTTAAACGTGTCCAACATGGCTTTTAATTTATCCGTTTGCGGTAATATCGTGGTCCTGAAAGTAAAAACAGGAATAAAACATTTAACATTTCGTTATTGACCTTTTCCCCCCTTTTCCCCCGGGTCAAAAAAAAATTTTACCTAAAATGATGCGTTCCAGGTTGTTGACCGAATCCGGATCCGGGAACGATGCAAATCCCGGTATTTTCCAACAATTGCAAAGCGTAAAACGTATCAGGAGCTTTTCCTTCTTTTTTCGCTGCTTCCACGGCTTTCGGTGGTAATTGCATTTGTGGGAAAGCGTACATGGCACCCTGGACTTCGTTGCATGAAAATCCAGGTATGCTGTTGAATGTGTCGGCAACCATTTTCGCTCTCTTTTTCAATTCCGACAAAACTTGTTCTCTTTCTTCTTTGTACAAAGGATAACTTGGTTCTCCTTCTCTCGGAGGATTCACGATGCATTCGACGACGGTCTGTAAAACAAAAGAAAAAAAATTTTTAATAACGTTCGACGACGTCCCGCAGGAAACTACATATTATTTACCTGACCCAAAGCAGTCGGACACAACATGGCCGAAATGGCTTTCAAAAGTTGAGCTTTCACTTGAGGGCAAATATTTATAATTTCGAAATAAGCTCCTCTCAATCCGCACTCCCCCATGTAACCCTTCGAACAAGACATGAACGATGCCAATTCCATTTCGCTGTAGGGAGGACCCATTTCCGTTAATACTTTTTTAAATGAATAAAATTTACTTCCGGGAGCGTATATGTTGTCCTGATAAACTTCGTCGGCCAATATGAACAATCTTTCCTTGTACGCAAACTGTATTATTTCTTCAATGTTTTTCCTAGAGAGTACTTGTCCCGTGGGATTTCCGGGATTTATAACGACTATGGCTCTCGGTGCGGAGACTTCTTTCGCTTCGTCTACGGCTCTTTGCAACTCGCTCAAATCCATACCCCAACCTTTCGATTCGTTCAAATAATAACTTATTTGATGCATGTTGAATTCTGCGAGGGTTGCCGAATAGAGTGGATATTGTGGTATGGGTACCATGACTCCGGGTCGTTTGTTGTCGATGGGTTGATTCATTATTTTCAAAACATTCTATAACAAACAAACAAACAAATGTGTTCTGTAAGTAGTCCCTTTTTATAAAAGGGTTATAAATTACAAGTTTAACAACAAAATGGCCTCACTTTGATACCGTCAGAAGCTCCCGCCGATAGTATGATGTTTGCATAGTCGCTCGGTATACCATCTCGTCTTTCTATAAATTCGGCAACGTGTTTTCGAATTATTTCGATTCCGACAGAATCCGTGTATGAACCCACGCTTCCTCCCTTACAACCTTTAAGCACGCCTCTCGCTCTATCTTTGGCATCTTCCGGAAAACTCGGATCGTCAAAAAGTGATGGTAATGACACAAGAGCCAAAACCTAAACACATCATGTCAATCAATTCTTAATAATAATAATAATAAAAAGTTTAAATAAGGACGTCATTAATTTAAACAAAACGTCACCTCCTCTTATGACGAAACTGATTGTGACGTCACGAAAAACTCTTGACGTCACCTAAAACCTTTTAAGAAATTAAATTTAAACGTTTAATACGAGTTGCTATGCAAACTCTAAAAACCTTGATGATAAAATTACCGTGAGATTTTCATTTAACCATTATTATTATTATCATACCGACCGAATCGTAATAATAACCATAACATATATAGTCGAACCGGTCGTTACCGAACAAAACCGGATATAAATTAAAATAATAATAATAATAATAAATGATTGACGTTAATTGATCTGTGACATTTGTTTGTTATTGGACTATAACCCATTTTTATAATATATCTTTATTCTTAATCTCTCACCCATTTTTATTATTATTATTATTATTATTAATGAAATTTTCTCACGTAAAAAAAATAAAAAGAAATTTTTCTGAACATAAACCGAACCGAGAAAAATTCATAATAAAATATTTTCTACCCCAATTTTTAATAGAAAAAAGTGGGGTTAAGAGGTTATTGAACTCTCTTTTCTATAGTTAAAAAAAACGGTTTTGGTTATTGCACAAAAAAAAAAAAAAAAGAAAAAATTGTTTAAACGTTACAGACCATTAAGAGAGAGAGAAAAAAAAAAAAACAATTTTGGGTCAAGTACAATTGTGAATGTGTTTAAAAACAAATTTGAAATTTTTTTTTTTTTTTTTTTTTGTCCTAAACAAAAGTTATAATAATGAAATATTAAACTTTAATGTGAGAAAACGAGTAAAAAAAAAAAAAAAAATTGATGTGTTAGCAATTAATATATAAAAAAAAAAAAAAAATGGAAATTTTTACTTAAAATAAATAAAAAAATAAAAATTTGCAAACAATTTTTTCTTTAAACATAAACAAAACAATCGCAACAAAATCGAAAACAAATTTGTTTTTTTTTTTTTAAAATAATATTTTGATAACTCAAATCGAATGTAATAACAAAAAAAAATAAATAAACAAAAGAAATATGTCGACAAAAGGCTAAAAAATTGTTTGTTTTTAACATTATTTACTTAACATTTGATTGTGTGTGTTTGTCGAAATCATTTTTTTTTGTAAATTTTAAAAATTGTTATTCGATTAAATTTAAATTTGTTTACCTGTCTAAAAAAAGTAATTGGTTTTTGTCCCATGGCATGACAATCACCAATATTTGCTTTTAAAACTTCTGTAAAAGGTTTTTTGACACCCTGAAAATAAATAAAAAAAATTTAATTAATATTTTTTAAATGGGAAACAAATGATGTGTTGTGTGTAGACTACAGAGCATGCTCATTGATACATTTTTTTTTTTTTTTTTTTTTTTTTACAAATTTATTTTTATAACAATAAAAAAAAAAAATATAAAATCTAAATTTAGCTCGAATAAAAAAAAAATCAATAAGAAAATTTTATTAAGGCAATAATGAAAATAATTAATGAAAAAATTATGAAAATAATGAGTTTAAGTAAAGAGTAAATGTTGTAAACCAAGGGCAAAATTATTAAGATCCAAGTGTTAGAAAATTGTTATAACAAAAAGAAAAAGTTTTCAAATATTATTATCATTATTATTAAATGGTGTATGTTATTAACATTCAAGGGCAAACTCCGACAAAAAAAAATTTAAACGTTCTAAACAAAAAAATAAATAAATATATTACCTGTTCTAATTCTTTTTCTATTTCTCCAGCTCTAATTACAATCGGTCCCCGAACGGCATATTCCAAACGAATTATATTTTCGTTCATATTTTCTATTGTGACACATTTTTCATTCGATTTTCCGGCGGTAGACATTTTCCTAATCGATGATTCCGTTAATATTCCTCCGTTTAATAAATTACAACAACCTTTCTTGTTGAAATTCTCAAACCTACAATGATATAGAACATAGCTACACGAAATTAAATCTTTCCCACCGGACTTGCACAATAAACGAACCGCCATTTCTCTTAAACGTTAGGGAATTTTTTTTTTTTTTTAAATTTACGTTGGCCAAACTGTCAAAAACAGTTGAATAATTTTTTTTTTTTTTATGTAATGTAATTTAATTGATTAATCTTATATCCTTGTCACTACTTATTGTAACTGTGATAAATGTTTTTCACATTAAACAATTTTAAAATAACCAACGATAAATAATATTTATTTATTTAAAAAATTTATAAAATGATTATTAACGATTATTAATCTAATTAATCCACGTCAATAAGTCAACAAGACCAAAAAATTTCGGTTTAAATTTTCACTTATTAAACGTTAAATCAAAATGTAAATGTTTATAATACGATTATGATTTTTATCGCGTTTAAATTTTTAAATAAAAAAAAAAAAAACTATTCGAATCGATAAATCGTTTTGCTTTTAATTAAATTTAAATAATTAACCACCGCGAGTTTACTCTCTGTGTCACTTTCTATGAAGAAAAAAAAAAAACGATTTCTAATATACCCTTTGAAATGATTTAATCATTTAGGCTTTTGACCTCATATCAACCTTGATCTCATTGTATTAGCCTCAAGAAATGATTTTCTTTTGACTTACAAAAAAAAAAAAAAAATGCCAAAAGATTTTAAATTTGAGATTTTTTTTTTTTTGTTTAATTTAATTTGAGCAACAAACAAACAAACAAACAGATTACAAGTGTTAATTATTTTTGTGTTTTGTGTTAAAACAAAAACATTTTCATCCACCCCACGTACAAACATAACCTAACTTATTTAATAAAATCAATTTTTTAATCAAAATTTTGTTAAATTATTTAAGTAATTCATTCATTCATTCATTCATTCATTCATTTGTTTTCATTTTAAATAAAAATTCATTATTGATTGATTGATAAAAATATTTTGTCGTAATAAAAAAATTATAAAAAAGTTTTTCTTTTATTTTATTTTTTTTTTCTTGTAAGTTTAAAAGGCAATTATTTTAATAATCAAGTGTTGTATGATGTTTTAAAAAAGTTCATTGACCTTTATAAAATTTTCCATTATCATAAATTATTTATTTAAAAAAATAATCCTTATTCGAATTACTTTTGATGTAATCATTTGTCTCAATAAAAAATTATTAATTTTGTAATATCTAATGTTGGAAGAATGATTGTCTGGTTCGACAAACAAATAAAAAAATTAATTACAATTCCAATTAATTAATTAATTATGTACATGATAATAATAATAATAATACTTTGTGTAATGACAAGTAATTATACATATAAATTTAAAATTAACTTTTATCAATTGTTTCAAACCGTTTTCAAAAATTTTTTTTTAATTTTTTTTTTATTTTTTTAATTAAAACAAAATAATAAAATAATTAATAATAATCTTACCTTAAAAATAATTAATTAATTAAATAAATAAAAAGTAAAATAATTTTCTATATAAAAAAATGAAACAGGTAGAAATAATTTTTTTTTTTTTTTACTTTTCAAATCTTCTTATCAGTAATGATAAGAACAGACTAAATAATAATCATTTTAAAAAAATTATTACCTTTTTAAAGTTTCTTTTTTCCTTTTTTTTTTTTTTTTTTTTTTTTTAATAAATAAATAAAAGAAAAATGAAAACAATAGAATGAACAGGTATTTAATAATAATAATAATAATGATAGTTTTTTCTCTCTTAGTGTTTAACTTATAAAAAAAAAAAGAAAGAAAAATCATTAATAAAAAATAAAAAATAGAAAATTTTTATTTAAAATAATAATTATTAGATATAATTAATTAATTATTAACAACCTTAAATGAACCTGAATGATAATGATAATTATTTTTTATAAACAGTCACATATATATATATATAAAAATAAAAACAATAAATTTTTTATATAAGGAATGTTTTTTATTAATAATAATAATAAAACTTTTTTGTCACCTTATTATTGTAATTATTATTATTATTACTGATTGTTAAACTTGATTTTAAAATGTAAAAAAATATTTTTAATTTAAAAAAAAATTTTTTATTTGTGACCCGCATTTAATTTTTTCTCAGGTTCCAGCTTTCCAGGTTTATTAGGTTTAACTGGAGGCAAAACTTTTGTTTTTATTGACTTAATAGTAAACATATTTGAAAAGTTTTAAACGATTCCCTTGTCTCTCTTTCACTCTCTCACAATCCCTCTCTCTCTCTCTTTTTCATTCTCTCAAATCCCTCTCTCTCTCTCTCTCTCTCTCTCTCTTATTCCAGAAAAAAAATTTTTAAAGTTTACCTCACAGTAGTTGTTACATCATACAAACAATCGAGTTCATAACAAAATTTTCTTTTTTTTTTTTTTTTTTTTTTTTATATTAAATTTAATAAAAATATTATTAACATAATTTTGAATAAAAATAATAATAATAATAATAATTTTATTTTTAAAAAAAATCAATAAATTTTTTTATTCTCAAATAATAATAATAAATTATATTCGTTTTATTTATATTAATTTATTCTTTATTTTTTTTTGTTTCCCTCTCTCTCTCTCTTATTAATCATTATTATTATTATTATTAATAATAAAAAAAAACATATAGGAATATCACATTTCAATTATTTTAAAATTGATATTATTGTGCTTATTTATTTATTTATTATTTATTGTACTGATAACACACATAAATTTATTTAATTAAGGCTGTCAATGTGTTTATTGGGTGTTATCACCTCTGGTTCGTATAAATGTTCGTTTATTATTATTATTATTATTATTATTATTTCATTCAGGTTCTATAAGGGAAACTCTTAAGATAAATTTCTTAACCATAAATAGGATGAAGAAAATTAACAACAGAGTTTAACCATCAAAGGGAAAAATCGAACCTGATTTTTATATATTATGTTTTTATATGTTTCACCGAAGTAACTGTAACCAAATCGGACGGTTGTTTAGTAAATGCTAGCATTCTGATTTGTCTTCTTCCACGAGTTTTTGAGTGTCTTTTCCCGTGTCGGAACTAGGATCGAGTTCCCTGTGTCTGATGTGTATTTGAGGTGACGTTCTTGTGACTACGCTCGAAGGTGCGAGTACAGCACTTGCCGGAGGTACGGGTTCGATACCTTTTTTCGATACCTCCGTTGGAACTTCGTAGATACCCGAACCGTTACCCTGATTTTCTACCGCGCATTCGTACATTGGATTGCTGAAGTCTCTATTTTTACTATTGATGTTATCTAAATTGTATGCTACGTCCAACGGTTCGACCGCTGGTCCGTTCGACGGAAATACTGGTGACCCGAATTCAACGTTTGTTCCTTGTCTAAATGAAACGCTTTGTGAATTTGTTAGTCCTCCTAATCCGCCTCCTTTTCCGCTGTAATTAATAAAAAATTTTCTCAGTTTGATATATTCTTAACCTCTTTTCTATTCTTATCAAAAGGTGTGATTACGTACAATGGTCTCTTTCTAATAATGAAAAAGATGGCGGCTCCAATAGCTGTTAAAAGGAGCAAAACTAATATTGGTATTAAGACGGTGGCTGCCGTTGAATTTGATGTGCTTGAACGAGATACTCCTACGTAATTATCACAGTACCGACCCTGGAAATCTTGAGGGCATTCGCAAATTAATTCTCCAGAATCTGATTCTCTGCAGATTCCATCATTTTGGCACAGACAAATTTTTGGATCAGGTCTGGCACGTTCGGATGCTGAAATATTATTATAGCGAGTGAGTGAATAAGTTTTAGGGATAAAACGGGAACACGAGGTTCAGGTACTTTTAAAAAGGACTTACCTGCGTCGCACTGAACTTCGCTTTGTCCTTTAGAAAGAGGATTCGCGTTATCAGGACACGCGCAACGATGTCCGTTAGGCACTAAAAGGCAAAGATGCGAGCACGGATTGCTGTGGCATGGATTCGATATTGTCGTATTATATCTTGCTTTATGGTAAACTTTGACGTCAGAGGGATTAAGTAAGTCTTTAGCAACAACTACAGGATCTCCTCTACCAAATTTATCCTGTTTTACGACTTCTCCAGTATCCCGAGTTACCCAAAACACCGAACTTTCAAACACGTCCAGTGAAACCGGATGTTTCAAATAGTCTCCTTTTATTATGACTTGTCTTCCGCTTCCGTCGTAGTTCATCGATTCGATCGTATTCAATTTCGTATCAGCCCAATAAATTTTATTATCCATGCTGAAATCTATAGCGAGACCGGTCGGATGTCCGACACCGTCGGTTGCAATGGTCGTCCTCATACTACCATCCAACCAAGAGCTTTCAATTTTTGGAGAATAACCAGAATCCGCCCAGAACATTTTTCCTAATTCGGGATCCACAGCTATAGATGTTGGACTTTCTAAATTGTTCGAAACAAGGGATCTTCTATACCTTCCGTCCGATTTAGCAACAACAACTTTTCCTTTGTTTTTCTGACTAGTTGGCTGAACTTCCGTCCAGTAAATATTGTTACTCACCCAATCGACGGAAACACTTGTCGGCTTAGCGTGAGCTGAAAAATTATCGGAAAAATGATTTCCAGAACATTCTTTGAGGAAAAAAGTTGAATGAGTTTCTAAAATAGTTTTTACCTCTTATATTAAGATCTTGTGGGTATCCAGCTTTGACGACACCTTGTCTAGCATCTACCATATAAGAACGTTTTAATGTGTTATCGTAAGAATCTACCCAGAAAATCATTTCCTGTTTCGGATCGAAATCTATCGAACTAATTCTTTTTTCTTCGGATATGACGTTTAATTCTTCCCGTTTTTCCATTTTGTACGCACGGATCTGCGGTCTGAAAAAATTTTTTTAATTAATAAAAATTTACGCGTAATTAATTTTAATTAGATTTTTTGAGTTGAGTAATTAATTACCCGTTAGAAAACAAAAGAGTCAAAGATTCAGGTTCGTTGAGTTTACAGACGCCGGTAAGTGTATCACTCAAAGTGAAACCTTCTCTACAGGAACAAACATAGGTACCGTTCAAATTAGTACAAATTTGTGAACATTTATGAGTTCCGGTTTCGCATTCGTCGACGTCATCACATTTTTTCTTATTTTTATCAGAGATTTTAAATCCCGGTAAACAGGTACAGATGAATCCCTTCAAAGAGGATCCGGGTCCGTCGATGTTTTCGCAGTTTTGTTCGCATCCCCCTCTCGTTTCCGCATCACATTCATGAGCTCGATCTGAAATATTCAATCATTTAAGTACTAAAATACTAGTTCGGTCGGATTCACGTTCGGGTCGATGCTATAACAAATCACTTACGGCATCCCTTTTCGTCTGAAGCATCACCGCAGTCATCACCGAAATCACAAACTTTCGAGATGTCAATGCATTTTTTATTCGCACACTGAAATTCTCTATCTCTGTTGCACGGTTTATTTCTAAATGAGCAAACGGTTGAATTTCTTTCGTCACTTCCATCACCGCAATTGTCAACTCCGTCGCAAAGGTGATACCTAGGTATGCATCGATGATTGTCGCATTGAAATCTTTGTAGCGTATCGCAGTTAAAATTATCTGTTTTCGTAAAATTTAAATCGGATCAGTTATCAGTCGGGGGGTGGGGGTGGGAGTGCGGGGGGAATTAATTTTAAATTACCCGAGTAATACTTACTGCAAACGGATGGATTTTCATCGGAATTATCTCGGCAATCGTCGGCTCCGTCGCACAAATCGCTATGTTGTATACATAAATGATTTGCACATTGAAATTGCGTCACCGGACAGTATCGTCCATTCGGATACCTCGGAGGACAATTTTTCTCATCGGATAAATCTCTGCAATCTTTTTCTCCGTCGCATCGTAGGTAAGATGCTATGCAGTGGCCGCTTGCACATTGGAACGAACCGTTCTGCAAAAAGTTTATATGTAAATAAGTTTTGAATTGTTTCCAGGAGCAGTCGGTTTTTTGTAATAATAAATAAAATAAATACCTTGCATTTAAAATCAGCACAACCTGATTCATCCGAATTATCACCGCAATCATCATCGTGATCGCAACGCCATCTTTGAGGTATGCATTTCCCGTTTCCGCACCGGAATTCACTTTCAGAACATTCTCTGTAAACTCCTTTGCACAAGGCATCCGTTTCATCTGAATTGTCGGCACAATCGTTTTCGTGATCGCAAAGCCATCTCCTGCGAATAAAAAAAATTTTTTTTTTTGAGTTTGGTATTATAATGACGTAATATGGATTAGGCTAATGAAATAAACGCTCACTTTGGAATACAACGATTGTTTCCACATCGGAAATCTGTATCTTGACATTTAGGACAATTTTCCGGTTTTTCATCGCTGTTATCGCGACAATCGTCTTTACCGTCACAGAACAACCATTTAGGAATGCATCTGTAGTTAGTACGTCCGGGACAACGTTGCCATCCATTTGTACAATTTCTTTGTCGACATTTAAAAGCCGGCTCATCCGAATCGTCTCCGCAATCATTATCAAAATCGCACATCCAAAGTTTTGGAATACAGCGGCCATTTTTACAAGAAAATTCTGTTTCTGGATCGCATTTTCTATTATCTAAATTTATTAAAATGAATCGATAAATTAAATTATAAATATGTATTTGTTTTTGTTAAATTTGTTATTGTGCTTACGGCACATTAGAGGATCCTCATCGCTGCCATCTTTACAATCTGGATCTCCATCGCATTTCCACGAATTGAGTATGCATCGGCCATTGCTTTTACATTTAAATTCAATTTCAGGACAAGGAAGATCACAATTCTTTTCATCCGACATATCTCCGCAATCATTAACACCATCACAAATATTAGCCGAAGCTGTGCAATTATTATTTGCGCATTGAAACATTCCATTTCGACACGTTCTTACAGGACAAGTCGAAGGTTCGTCGGAGCCATCTTTACAATCCAATTCGCCATCACATCTGAAAAAAAAAAAAAATAAGTCACATTAGCAAATTGAAAATAAATTACGGAATCTATTAGTTAAAAAACTCACTTCCAAAACCACGGAATGCATTTTTGATCGTTTCCACCACAATGATGTTGACCGGCTGTACAATTAGCCATGCATGTTTTACCATCGGCAAGTAAATAAAATTGATTTGGACAAGCGCAAGAATAATTAACCGGAGTATCGGTACCGCCATAACCGAATGGGTTACGAGGTTTTCCATTTGCAGCAGGTGCTAATAAACAGAGATGGGAACATCCACCGTTGTTTTGATTACACGGATTCGGATAGGGCAACTGACGAAGAGGATGATATATGTGCAAGTCGTAGGGTCTATGAGTTGTATTACGAAGTATTTTCATGTCTTTTCCTACATAAACCAATTTCAAAATAAACGATTAAATTTCGGTTTATTCATTAAACCAATATAGAATAATATTGAAATTTTACCGGTAAATTTATTAGCTTTACTAATAGCTTTCATGTTCCAATCGGTCCAGTAAACATCATCATCAAATAATGAAAGAGCAAATACGTGAGGCACTTTTTGTCCGCTCAAAACAATATGGCGATGCTTTCCTTCTAAATCCGTATAAGCAATATAATCTAAATGAGCATCAGCAAAATAAATTCTATCAGTAAAGTAGTCGATCGTTAAAGCATTCGGCCAAGCAATATCATCATTCCAAGTTAAAATTCTAGTGAAATTTGAACCATCCATTCCAATTTTTCCAATGTAAGCCTGCAATTACATTGTTACCGAATATAAACCATTTGAAATATTTTTAAACAGAATAAACAATTTGTTGTACGTTTTTTTGTTTGTTACCTGTAAATGCCAACTTGTGAAGTACAAATATCCTACACCTGGATGAACAGCAATCGCTCTCGGATCGGCAATGCCAGATTTTAACGTTTTTCTATTCACACCATTTAACTCTGATACCTCAAGGTGTTTACTATGTCTATCAAGCCAATATAATTTTCTACCGACCCAATCAACAGCAATTCCTTCCAATCCGTGACTATCATGTCTAATTACCGGTTCTTTAACATCAATTCCATCGATATCGGATCTAAAATTTAATTTTTTAATTAATTTAAATTGTTTTCGAATTATAATGATAATAATAATTAAAACTTTCGTTGTTTACCTGAATATGGTTTTGGCGCTAACGTCGCAAAAGTACAATTTTTTATCTTTTAAATCGTAATCTAAAGCCACGACATTAATTAAATCTTTATGAACCAAACTGTAAACGCTGGCATCGGTCGACATGTTTCTCACGTAATATTTATTTGTAAAAATAAGCCAGGGTTGTATTCGATCTTTTCTTTTACACGATCTTTCATCTTGTTCTCTTTCGTAATATTTATCGTTGCATTTACAATAATAACCGCCTGGAGTGTTGGAACAATATTGAGAACATGCGCCGGGTAATTCCGTACATTCATCTATGTCACGACAAGCTTTTCCATCCGGCATTAATCTATAATTTGAATCGTTTTTTAATTTTTTTTTCCCCCCCGTTTTCAATTTGAATTTTATTTATTTAACACTTACTTGTAACCCTGATTACATTCGCAATAATAACTCGTAAGAGTATTAACACATTTATGATTACATTGATGAATTTCAACTTTTGCACATTCGTCAACGTTACAATGAAGTGGTTCATCGCTATCATCTGCACAATCCGACACTTTATTACAAACCAAATGGTAGTCTATACATTTTCCATCGTTACATCTAAACTGACCGTTTGGACACGTTGAGTTTGTTTTACCTGTAAAAAAAAAATTAAAAATTAAAAATGGTTGTCCTGTACTACTCAAGTAAACACATCATTAACGCAAAAGTGTAAGATAAAATATTTACTGCATCCGACTTCGTCTGAATTATCACCGCAATCATCTTCTCCATCGCATTGATATATTTTACGAATACATTTGAAATTTTGACAACTGAATTCTTCAGGTGTACACGTTTTATATTGAGCATTACAGAATTTTCCTTCGTCGGTACCATCTCCACAATCGTTGTCATGATCACACAGCCAACCCTAAAATGGTATTTTTATATAATTTTTTCATTGAAATTGTGGTAACATTTTTTTTTTTTTTCAAAATTAATATAAACTCACCATGTTGATACAACGACCATTTCCACATGTAAATTGATCAGAAGCACAGGATACCGGTGATGGACAGGAGTGAAGAGTCGAATTTTCATCAGCTCCATCAACGCAGTCTGGATCCCCGTCACAAATCCATTTTTTAGGAATGCATTGAGCTCTATTCCAGGCTTTGTTTTCCGTACAGGTAAATTCAGTTTCCTCATCGCATTTTCTGTCGTCTGTAAGTCAAATTTCGAATCGTGAATTTTTTTTTTTAACGGACTTTATAATTAAATATTTCAAATTTACTTACTGCATTGATGTCGAACGTCTTCGTCGGAATTATCCAAACAATCATTATCACCATCACAAATGTATATTCTAGGTATGCAATTTCCATTGTCGCAAGTAAATAAATCTCCAAAACAGGTTCTTCCTTCGGATTTACAGTATTCTGGTGGTTCGTCAGCTCCGTCACCGCAATCGTCATCACCATCACAATACCACGTGGCCGGAATGCATCGATGATTTGGACATCTAACGTTCGTAAAAAAAATATTAATTAATTTTTATCTAAGGGTTTTTTTTTTAAAGAAAACAAATTTTTTTAAATACCTAAAACTATTTTGAGGGCAAGTCCTTTGAGCACAATGTAAAGAATCTTCATCGGAATTATCTCCACAATCGTTATCACCATCGCACAACCAATAGGGCTCGACGCAAATGTTGGTATTGGAACATTTTAAATGATTTGGAGGACATGTTGTATTCTTTGGGCATCTTTCGTGGGTTTCGTCTGATGTAACATTGTCTTTACAATCGTTGACACCGTTGCAAACCTAGAAAAAAATTTTACAGTTGAGATAAAATCACGTTTTGTATATAAAAGACAAATGTAGGTAAAAATAAATTACCTGAGACATTGGAATGCATCGGTAGTTAGCACATGTAAATTCAGATGAATCACACGGAGGATACACGCATTCAAGTTCATCTGAACCGTCTTTACAATCGTTTTCATGATCGCAAACCCATGATTTGAATATACAACGACCGTTGGCACATCTAAATTCGTTAGGATTACACGAATGGTAAGCTGTTAAAGAAAAAAAAATTAATTATTACGTCATTTCACACGAGTAAGATATTTTAAAAGCAATTTACTTACTGCAGTAATTAACATCTTCATCTGAACCATCCCCACAATCGTTGTCTCCATCACATGACCACATTCTCGATATGCATTTACCATTTTTACAATAAAACTTTGAACTGTCGCAAGTTAAATTTTTAGGAACGCACATTCGATTTTCGTTAACCAATTTTGAATTATCATCACATTTACATTCGGCCTGCAATATTAATTTCAATGTTAAAATTTATAAAATTGTTGTTTATGTAATTTGAAATAAAATTTTTTTTTTTTTACTTTTCCATTCGGTCCAGGATGACAACTTTGTGCGCAACCGCCATTATTGATATTGCAAGGATTCGAGTCACACATTTGTCTACTTTTAGAAAATACGTGTATATCTCTTGGAGAATCTTCTAATCTCTTAACCATTTCGATCATGTTAGCTCCAGTATGTTTTTCCGCTCTATAAACTCCTCTCAATTGTAAATCTGTCCAGTAAATGTAATTTCCATGTACGGTTATCGCAAATGGATAAATCGTTGCAGCGACAAGAACCTTGAATAAAAAGGAAAAATTGATTTGTGTTGGTAACACTTTCAACACTTAAAATTTTTTTTTTGGTACTGCGATTTTTCACCTGTCTAAATGTTCCATTTAAAAACGATCTTTCTATTTTTTCTCTCACTGCATCAGTCCAATACAACATTCTCTCGGAATAATCAATAGCCAAACCGCTAGGCTGTGATAAATCCTTTTCAATTATGGCTTTTTTCAATGATCCAGCCATTGTCGTACGATAAATTTTACCGGATGTTCCGAACCGACCCCAGTCGGTGTAATACAATGAACTGAAAAAATAGTAAACATGATGACGTATTTCTTCGTTGGTGGAATTTGATATATTTTGTTTTTTTAAAATTATATGATACCCGTTGCAAGGATCCAATACTATGGCTCTGGGTCTTTCTACTCGAGCTATCATGACCAAATCCGAATTATCCAAATTCATTGCGTATATGCTGTTGTTGCTGCTGTCCGTCCAATAAATTTTCTTTTGTGTCCAATCGTAGGCGATACCTTCCGGATTTATTCCTCGATTGATGATGTTATGAATGGTATCGGGATTTTTACTTGACGTCCATGCGATTCGTGCCCACGGTCTGATTTGAGTAAATAAAAGTTTTTTGTCGTCGTAATCAAAATCGACTCCGACAACGTTTGTAAGATTTGCCTGAAATTTTCAGAGGAATAAAATTTTTACAAAAAAAATTTTTTTAAATTGGGTAAAAATTTAAAGCGTTACCTGCAGCTGTCTTTTTGTAGGACTTCTATCAAATGTGTTTCCGGAATCGTAATGTTTCTAATAACATTCCGATTATTCAAAAAAAAGCAGCAGGAAATAATAAAAAAAATAACGAAAGGAAAAAAGTGGCACGAAAAGGCTCTTCAGCCACATGTTGCAAAATGGCGACAAGTTAAAAAATTTTTTGAGTTTAGACAAAAAAACTTACGAGAGGTTTAAATGGAATGACGGTCGATCTCGGATCCAGATCGATGGCTCGGATTTCTGTTCTTGTCGAGAAAACTAAAAACTCATCGTAGGTGGTACATTTTTTTTGATCATCTGGAGATACGGAACCGATAGCACAATCACATTTAAAACTTGGAGCAGAAGAATAACTACCGTTGGTGGGATATGAGAAACAAAGTTGGCTGCATCCTCCATTGCCCAACCTGTAGTGTTATTGAAAAAAATTTTTAAAAGGTTTTGAAAATTTACATGAAATTCTCTTACAAAAAGAAAATTTACCTTTTGCAGGGATTGTAATCTTCGTCTGGTTGATTCAATATATCGAATATTGCGATATCTCGAAGTTTTTGTAAATTTGTTCTAACTGCTATTGGTTGAGATGAATTGCCGATAAGTTTCGAAGCTTTAAAAACTGATTGAAGATTTCTATCGACCCAATACACGTCGCTTTTATAAACGGCGATTCCCATTGGATTTGGCAGGTTTCGTCTTATAACCTGATAATTGAAAATTTTATAAATTTTTAATTATTATTAACAATTTTCAAGGTTTAGGGATTAAAAATATTTACCTGTCGAGCACCTCCTGAAAATCCTATTTTTTGAATTACATCCATTTTAGAATCGACCCAATATACGTCATGAGTTAGCATGTCAACGGTTAAATCTCTAGGATTAGTGATACCGGATGTGACGACCGGTGTCCAATGAGTTCCATCTAAATATGCTTTTCCTATACGAGGATACTGACCGTAATCGATCCAGTACAAATACCTAAAACAATTATTAATTTCATTTATAATGTTTAACTTTTAAAAATTTTTTCATTTTAATCAAAAAAAAAAAAATTTTTTTTTTACTTCTTAATGGGATTGACGGCGAGTTCTCTGGGAGCATCCGTCGTAGTTTTATAAATGACTTTTCTATTGCTACCGTCCAACCAACAAACTTCTAAATAATTTTCGTGTGGGAAAACATTTGTGAAATATAAATTTCCAGCGATCCAATCGATGGCGATCCCTCTAATACCATTTGAACCGATTCCTTCTTTTATGACGCTTTGAATTTCCGAACCGTTCGGTCTTATTCTAAATATTCCATTCCAATGACCTCTATTGAATTCGACCCAATAAATCCAGTTTTGAGCAAAATGAACGTCCACGTGAAGTATATGATGACCTTGAATGAAAAATTAATTTTTAATTATAATCAGTTCTCCTGAAATTATTATTATTATTTTTTTTCTGATTGTCGTACCTGGACCGGTAATGGGAACCATGGCTTCGGCAGAATCTTTCAAACTGTAACCTCTGATGAGATCCAATTGTGATACAACAGCGAATGTTTTATACGGTGAGCAATTGACTTCATTTTCTTTTTTATAACCTACTGAGCATGCGCAAACCCTTGAATTTCCTTCGCTGGGAATACAAATTTGTGAACATCCACCGTTGGCCAAAATACATGGATGGTTATAAGCTAAAAAAAAAAAATGAAAAAGACGTAAAGATTTTTTTTTCTCAGTAAATAATTTTGCGACGTCGTTGTAATAACTCACATAATCTTTTTTTAAACACGACAAAAGTTTTTAAATCAACTTCATTATCCAAAATAAGTTTTGGATTTTCTCCAGTTGGAAGATCGACTCTTTCTATTTTATCGTAAATCGGATCCAAATAAAACAATCGACTGTCCACAACAGCTAAAGCTTTCGGTTGCTGAAGATTATTTTCTTCGGATAATAAAACTCGAATATTTTCTCCATTCGTCGCCATCGATTTGATCTGTGAAAAAAATAACGTGGCATTAATTCATCTTATTTAAATGTAAAGACAATAAATAAGTAGATGATACTCACGTAACCCGGATGTCGCATGCTGTAATATAAAATTTTCTTATCCAAATCAATCGTTATGGCTTCCGGTCGTTCAATATCAGTCGTTAAAATTTCCGGATTTGAACCATCCATATTTACTTTGGCTACTTTTGCTGGAACTCCGTAACCACCTTCATCAACCCAGTACAATTTTCTGAGGGGATAAAAGTTGTTTCGTTAATAATAATAAAAAATTTAAACTCATTTATTTAAAAATAAAATTTTATTTACCCCTCACTAGGATCCAGACACATTGATTTCGGCTTGGCCACCGACAGTTTGTTACCATCATTTGCCAATATTATGGTTCTATGTTTAACTTTACCATCAACTTTAATAAGTTCAAAATTTGATGCTATTCTATTGGCGATGTATAAATTTCTTCCTAGCCAATCGAAAGCGATCGTATACGCAGCTCCCACCAATCCTGAATCCTTACCGAGGAATTCGGTTTTATTTCCTCCACCGTAGGGTGTTACATAAATCGTACACTAAAATATTAAAATTAAAGTTAAATTATTATTTAAATATAAAAAAAATAAATTTTAAAATTATCATAATTCTATACGTTTTCTTCATCATCTTCTTTTCCTTCGACCCAATATATCGTTTGCATTTTTCTATCGTAATCTAAATGAAGGCCACCTTCGATTCCAACAACCGCCGTCAAAAATCCTCCGGTTTTATCTCCTGGTGTTAATGACACGTCAATTATTTGTGATCCTTTCATTACCATTAAAAAGGCAGATTCCTCTGTAAAATCAATTTAATTTTATTTTTTTATTTTTAATTGACAAAAATCGATATTACATAAAAAAAATTAGTGAATAAAATCGAACCTTCGGTACATTTGCCGTTGGGAGAAGTTTTAAAACCAGGTTTGCATTTACACGTGTATCCAGTGCTCGAATAAGGTGATAACAAGCACAAATGTTGACAGTTTGCATTCAGACAAGGATTGGGAGTTATCGGTTGCAATGCCGGATGATGAACGTGAATGCTAAGAGGTTGAGATATCAAATGTGATACGACCGTTTGATTTTTTCCTCGGAATTTTTGAGCGGATAATACCTGCAAAAAAAAAAAAAATTAGTTATATTACTTTCAAATAAACATTTGAAAGAACGGATTTACATGAATTTTTGTCAAATCTTACCCTATTCAATTGTCTGTCCGTCCAATAAAGAGTATCTTCGAAAAGGGTAAGAGAATGAGGATGAAGCAAATAATGACTTCCGGCTAATACTTGTTGCCTTCCGCTACCGTTGTAATAACAAAAATCAATGTAATCAAGTTTTGAATCGGCAAAATAAATTCTTTTCGTAGCCACGTCTAACGTTAATCCGTTTGGCCAGTAAATTTTTGTGTTGATTATGGTAGAACGATTTAAACCATCCATTCCAACTCTTTCGATTCTTGGATTTTCACCCCAATCCGACCAAAATAACCATCTGGCACTACGTTGTTAATAACGAATAAAATAATTTATTTCGTCTTATTTAATTTAGATAAAAAAAAAAAAGGTAAACGTTGTCATACCCAGGACTAGGATCCAAACACATTCCTCTTGGTTGCGTTATATTTTCTTTTAAAAGAACCATTCTATCGGATCCATTTTCTCTAGCTACTTCAATTGTATTTAAACGAGAGTCTAACCAATAAATGTTACCACCGATCCAATCGTAAGCTAATCCTTCTACTAAATCTAATCCATTGGTTATTATCTAAAATTTAAATTACGGTTAATACGAATAAATTTACTAAAAAATCAATGATTAGTAAATTAAAGTACGCACGTCTTTAGGTTCACTACTTCGATCAAGCCTTGAAATTTTCTTTAGTTTCATATCCGACCAAAATATTGTACCCGTGTGCATGTTAGAAGCCGTGGCAACAACATTTTCCACAATTATCGGTACTCTTTCTAATCCTTGCTCTTTCAAATCAGCAACAAGTATCGAATGTCGATTGGATATTATTAAGAAAGCTGAACTGTGATCTGCAAAAAAAACAAAAATTGATTAATGAGGAAATGGAAAAAACAATGAATGCATTATTCAAATTTAAATTTATTACTCACTGATTGCTTTACAAAAATGTTTATTCAATTCTAATTCGTAACCGTCATCGCAAGTACAATAATAAGAGCCTTTTGTGTTGTGACAATGTTGAGAACAAGATTCCGGTTTCTCACATTCGTTTAAGTCTTGACACGTGTATGTGTCGTTTGATAAAGTTTCACCAGGAGGACACGTGCAAACTGCTCCCTTTTGTTGAAAAATAAAAAATAAAATAAAATTTTTAATATTTAAAAAATTGTTAATAACAAATAATAATGATGATGTAATAAGGAAACTACTAACGACTGGCGTTTGTTTGCAACCGTTTGAACAAAGTCCCGATCTGTGATTACATTCAGCCAAATCACAACCTGGACCTTCATCAGCACCATTTGGACAATCAGCTTTACCGTCGCACACAACCGATATGTTGACGCATCTTTCCGAGACTCCAGGACATTGCCATTCATTACCGTTGCAGCTAAATAATGTAAAAGAAGAAAGTTTTACTCGAAAATAAATACCGAAATAATAATAATTAAATTTAATTAAATTATTTTTACCCGAAAGGTGGAGGACCGCATGCATGCCTTGCATCCTCATCACTTCCGTCGCCACAATCATCTCTTCCGTCACATATATATGCTTTAAATATACAGTGACTATTATTACATTTGAAATAACCTTGTTGACAATCTACTTTTCCACACGTCGGAGGTTCATCGGATTCATCATCGCAATCGGCAGTACCATCACAATGCCAAGCTCGAGGAATGCATATCCCGGATGATTGACATTGAAATTGTTTTTCAGAATCGCATTGATCAGGAGCTAACGAAGCTAAAAAATTAAATAATTTTTTAAGGGAGAAAACCCAAAAAAATAAACTCCTATGAAAAAACTGGATTTGAAAGAGTCAAACTTACGACAACCCAATTCATCGCTTCCGTCCGTACAATCTGATATACCATCACATTTATACGATTCTTGTATGCACTGTTTTAAATCAGAACATTTAAATTGAGTTGATGAACACGTGACAGGCGGACAATCTTCTTCATCTTGATTATCAAAACAATCATTGTCTCCGTCACAGACCCACGTTTGCGGAATGCAATGACCAGAACGAGGACACGTAAACTGAAATGAAAGTATTAATAAGCTGTCGTTTTATCGAAATCTTATTTAAAATTTGTTTTTGATTGTTCAGATTTATTCACTTTAAATTGTAAGAGTCACGTGAACAAATCAAGTTATTACCTGAAAATATGCGCATGTTTTTTGAGCACAAAAATCTCCTTCATCGCTTCCGTCACCGCAATCATTTTCAGAATCACATTTCCAAGCGTTCGGTATGCATCTATTATTTTCACATAAAAATTGAGACAAAGCACACGTGACATTGACACAACCTGTTTCGTCAGAGTAATCTCCACAATCATTTTCAGAATCGCATTTAAACGTTCCAGGAATGCATCTTCCAGAACTGCATTGAAATTCGCTCAAAGAACATGTCGATTCTAAAATAAATAACCGTCTTAATTTTTATACAAAAAAAAAAATTTTAATTATTAAAAAAATATTTAAAGAGTATGGCGAACGCACTTGTACAATTTTGTTCTTCGTCTGAATTATCCAAACAATCATCATCTCCATCGCATACCCAAGCTTTTGGTATGCAACGTAAATTTCTACACGTGAAATCCCACGTATTCGGACAGGCTTGCACGGGTGGTTCCGATTGTGGATCAGCAGTACAAGTTTTATTTTCAGGTTCGATTAAACGTTCTCCATAAGGACACCCGCATTTAGCCTAAATTAAAAAAATTATTTTTTACTCTTTGCCACAAATACTCTAAATTTTTTAAACGATTCAATAAATATCCCCGTGATACTCACAACGAGTGACGAACTATTGAGGTGGTTAACTGCAAAACATAATTTTTCACAGCCTCCATTATTAATGGCACAAGGATGAGTCGGATCGATTTTTTGAACTGCTTCGCTATACACTTTAACACCGTATAAACGATTTGTTTGAGGTTCTTTGACTAGAATTTCTTCCATGTCTCCATTTATTTTATGGAGTTTAACAATGGCGTCTAATCTCCAATCGGTTACGTACATCCACTCTGATACAAAATGTAATAAAATGTAATAAAATAAAAAAAAAACCAAAAAAATTTTTTTAAAGAGACTATACTATAAATTATACCTTTATAAATAACAATTGAAAATGAATGCCTAATAAACCTAGAATTTATTGTTTTAACATCTGTTCCATTTAAATGAGAATGTTGAACGTGATCCAAAAGTGCATCGCACCAATACAAACGATCCGTTTCATAATCTAAGGCTAAACCGTTGGGCCAACCCAAAGTGACATTTTTAAATACCATAAGACCAGAACCGTCACTGTTTGCTCTGCTTATGTTAGCTGGTCTGTCCCATTCCGAAAAAAATATGTACCTGGAAAAAAAAAAAAATAAATAATAATATTTATAATTGTTTTGAAAATTAATTAATTTTTTTTTAAATTTGAGAATTAATTACCCTTTGTTCGGATGAACAACAATTGCTCTCGGCCTTTTTAAATTTTTCAACAATGTTCTTTTGTAAGTTACATTTCTCATGCTCAAAACATTCAAAGTTCCTTTTCTGCTGTCGATGTAATATAAATTCTTAGCTGCCCAATCAACTGCTAAACCTTCGACTCCTTCATTTTGAGAAGCCAAAACAATTTCCCGACCTAAAATAATAATAATAATTATTTAATGAAATGTTAAAATCGTACCTTAATGTAAATTTTTGTGTGTTCGATTTACCTGTTCCGTTTAAATGAGTTCTGTAAA